TGTCCTCAACTCACTGTCCCCTAGGTTTGCCATCAAATCTCTACAGTTGCTCTTGTCAATCTGATATCACATAATTTTTTTGTATTTTAGATGAAGGTTTACAGAACAAAATAGTTTCTCATTAAACAGTTAGCACACATGTTGGCCTGTAACAATGGTTAACAACCCCATGACATGTTAACACTGTCCTTACTCAACCTTCTATTCCCTATCACCAGCTTCCCTGTCCCCTCCTGCCTTCTAGTCCTTGCCCCCGGACTGCTGTGCCACATTAGTCCCATTTTGTTTTACCGGGCTGTCCAATCCCCGGCTGAACGGTGAACCCTGGGAGTAACTTTACCAATGAGCTAAAAGGGTGTCCAGGGGCCATACTCTGGGGGTTTCTTCAGTCTCTGTCGGGCCAGTAAAACTGGTCTTTTTTTTGTGTGTTAGAATTTTGCTCCACATCCTTCTCCAGCTCTGTCCAGAACCCTCCGTTGTGATCCTGGTTAGATTGGTTTTTATTTGTTAACTTTTTCTGTAGCAATGGAATTTTCTAATTTAATCTATAAATATAATAAGTTACACTTGCTGACTTTTTCACAGTAAAACACCCTGAACCAAAAACCATACCAAACCCATTGTTGTCAAGTTGATTCCAACTCATAGCTACCCAATAGGACAGAGCAGAACTGTCCCAAAGGGTTTCCAAGACTGTAATATTTATGGAAGCAGACTGCCACATCTTTCTCCCACGGAGTGGATGGTGGGTTTGAACTGTCAACCTTTTGGTTAGCAGCCAAGTGTTTTTAACCATTGCAACACTAAGTTTCCTTAAAACACCCTTGCATACCTTAAAAAAACAATCCAACTTTATTATGCTGTATTCTTTTCTTTACACATGGTTAAAATCAACAGGCTTTTTTTTTTTATTTTAAATAAAGGATTTAATCTCTATTTTCATAAGAGATATGGGCTTATACTTTTCCTTCCTCACAGTATCTTTACCTGGCTTTGGTATCAAGATTATACCAGCCTTGCAGAACGAGCTGATGAATCTTCCCTCTTTTCCACTCTCTAGAAGAATTTAAGACGGAGGCAATCTCTTACGTGGGAGGTTGTAGAACTCACCTGTTAAACTATTTGGTACGTGGTTATATTTAAGCCTTTCGCTGCTAACCAAAAGGTCAGCAGTTCGAATCCACTAGCCGCTCCTTGGAAACTCTATGGGACAGTTCTGCTCTGTCCTATAGGGTTGCTATGAGTTGGAATCAACTTGGCATCAGGGTTTTTTTTTGCTTTTTTCTTTTTAGAAAGATTTTTAACTGCTGTTTTTTTTTTTTTTTTTTTTTTTAATATTATAGGGCTCTCTCTCTCATTGCCATTGAGTTGATTCCAACTCATAGGGATCCTACAGGACAGAGTAGAACTGCCCCATAGGGTTTCCAAGGAGCAGCTAGCAGATTCTAAGGTTAGCAGCTGAGCACTTAACCACTGGGCAACCAGGGCTCATTACAGGGCTATTCAGGCTTTGCATCTTTTCAAACTGACTCAAAATGTTTTTGTGTCCATACAGTCATTTTGCCTAGTTTTCAACAATGGCATGTGATTGTTCATAAGGATCCCTGATTTTTTTAATCTGCACTTTCTCTGAGGTAATTTACTCCTTTTCCTTGTACCTTTTCTGGTTTTTTCTTGATCTTCCTGACAGAGGTATGTTGATTTTGTATTTTGTAAATATCAACTTTTGACTTTTTTGATGTTTCATTTTACATTTCATGGATTTCTGTACTTTGTCTCTTTTCCTTTTGTTAGGTGAACTCCACTATTCTTTTTCAACTTCTTAGATTAGATCAAGATTCTTCAGCGTTTCTTGTTTCCTAATGTAAGTATTTAAGGCCATACAATTCCCTCTAAGCACACGTTTCCGGCACCCAACAGGTTCTGATATGTGGTACTGTAATTGTAATTTGGCCTGAGGTATTTTAAAATCTGCACTATGATTTCTTCTTTAACCCATGAGTTATTTGACAATTTTTTTTAAGTTCCCAGAGGTGCCTGGCCAGCTACAGGGCCCAGAAGAGACTGACATCTGACCATGAGCCCCTGGGAGATCGAACAACCCAAGTGGTCATCAGAGACTGGGCGTGCCAGCTGCATGGGCAGGATACCACATGCACGCGGCACACACCAGGGAAGGCTGGGCCAGCCTAGAGGGCGTGCACCAGCTGCAGAGGCAGGCGGTATGATCTCAGCAGCCTTCCTGACCCCTTGCCTCTCCTTCCCTCAACTCCACCTGCAGCCTCATGGGAAACGCCCAATGACCAGCCCCTTGAGAAACACTACATGTCCTGCTGAGGCGTGACCACCCAGAAAGCAGTGCAGAAGGGAAATATTCATGGTACATGTTGCCTGGAAGGAGAGATAGCTTTGTAGATCTCCACCAGTGTAAGGATAAGGGCAGTCAATGTGAAGGAACGCTGACTTCCTAGGATGCTCGGGGAAGAAGGCACGGGCAGATGCTCAGAAGGGCAGCGCGTGTGAGAACCTCCCTGCGCCCACGCTCCCTGGGAAGGCAGGGTGCTGTGGATATGGCCCCTCAGGAAGGTCAACGCTGGGCATGGGCTCAACCACAGGCACCTTTTCCCCTGAGGCCCCCAAACCACAGCCCTCCTACGGGTACAACGGGCTGCAGCGGAGACTGCCTCTCTGGAAATTCCCACCAGCAGCCTGGCGCCAGGGTGGCCACACTGAACAAGTCTGTCACAGCACAGAAGCTTCATGCTGATGGACCAATGGCTGGTTCTCAATGTGGCCACCATGCTTCTGCCAGCTGTGCCATCTGTACAGCCTCCTGGCAGCCCTGCTCACCACTGTGCGGACCAAGAGATGACAGAGAATTGACTAGTTTTACCATAAAGTCCACCACCGGATCAGATGGCTTTATGGATGGCGGCGTGTCCCCTCGAGGATCAGTGAGGGTGGGTGCTCGCAGCACAGTGTGTGGTGCTGGCTACCCCACAACCAAGTCATGTGGGTCAGGATCTAGAGTGCGTGGCTCTGCTGCTTTTGAGGTTGTCCCCAGGGGACACAACAACAGGTCTAAGCTGGGACTGTCACTGGACCATTCTGGGCTTCTCAAGCCCCTTGGTCAATAGCAATAAGTAGGTTGTGGTGTTGGCGAGGTTGAGCGACCCTGCTATTAAGAATCAATAGGGTTGCTACTCTAAGTGGGAGAAAGGAGGCAGCCAGGTGCACCACCATGCCTCCATGAAGCTAAGGGGACACATGGGTGAAGGCATGAAGGGCGAGACCCGCAGGAGTGTAAAGGTCAGTGCAGCCCCCCGTCTGAGGGGCTGGCCGGACCTCAAGTGCACGGGGGGCAGAGGAGGTGCTCTGGCCCACCCAGAGGCACCTGGATGAAGAAGGGCTGTGGCCTCTACCCTCATCTCCTCCACACTCAGGCCCTTGAAACAACGCTCCCCTCCCTGTCCTCAAGGACGGTACACCCTGGCTAACTTGCCATGGGCTATCGATCTAGCACCAGCAGGTCTGGGGAGATGCCACCTAGGACTGCTGGGGCTGTAGATGGATGCAGTGCCTGACGGGACTTGGGACTGCCTCCTCTGGGGAGGGTGGGGCTCTCTGTAGGGGAACGTGTGCAGTCTATTAGTCACGAGCAGCTTCTTTAGAACTCTAAGAATAAGAAGGACGCGTTCTCACACTGTGCTGCAAAACACGGGTTTTTGGCTCCCAAATCTGAACTCCCTTTTTAGCCTGAGCACCTGCACAGCCTGTGATGGGAGAAAACCACCTCCACCTGGTGCAGGAAGGGCAGGGCTTGCCCCGAGCTGACATGGCACAGATCACCAGGTGCTCTGAACTGCCGGCTGCCCTACGGCATGGGGACATGAGCCCTTTGTCCTAATGCTGGCGCAGTGATGTCCCACAAGTCCAGCTCCGTGGCATGCCTTTGCTGTGGCCTGGCCCACAGACTGGCTGGCCTCTGCTTTCCAAGCCTGGCCTGCCCACCTTGGCAGCAGCTCCTCTTCTGCCTGTGCATCCTGGCAGGTTTCTCACACCACAGCCAGGAATCCTGCCCATCCCATACGATGCCTCTGCGTCTGTGCTCAAGACCTTGCACTTGCCAAAGTGCCCTTCTACCCCCTTTTCTGGCTACCTGAACCCCCATCTCCTCAAGTACGAGTCAGCCCGTCCTGCACGCAGCAGTCATTCACCTGTTCTCTGCAGTCCAACGGGTACCACATCCCTGCCTTCCCCCCAGCTTGCCTTCTTTGCTGGCCTGGAGCACTCCAGAAAGACCACACCATCTGAGATCTTTGAACCCCTTGAACCCCATCAGGTTTTGTCTTCTGGGAAAAGGTCAGATTTTCTGAACGGAGCCATGTGGAGGCAGCATGGAGCGGGCGCGTCAGCCAAGGCCAGATTCTTCCAGTTCTTTGCACCTCTCTCCCCTCGCAGGAGCAAGGGCTCGGGCAGTTCCTCTTTAACTCTCTCACTAGGCCACACGACAGTAAGGGGCTTCCCTTCTCTGCGGACCCCAGCGATGTTCAGGCACTAGGTGAGCATGTGAGCCATCAGAACCAGCCGTAAGATCCACACGCGACACAACACACAAGACCACCTGGAGTCCTGGGGGGAGGGGGTGTGAGGCCAGCAGACACTTCTCTTCCACATCAGCACTGGGAACCTGTGTCTTTCCCACCTGACCGGTCTTCTGGAATATGCTCAGGGTGCCCAAGCTCAACTGAACGGAAACTTCAACGTTTACATATAATTTAAAAGGCAAACATGTTTTACCTGGTTAAGAATTACAGGATTTCTTTAAACATTAAGTCCCCTTGATGCATCAAAAATTATTTAAAGATTAATTTCATACTCAAGCTTTCCAAAATATAGCAGATACCCAGAGAGAGCCACCTTCCCACATGAAGAAGCACGAGCAAGCTGCTTTACCTTTCTGACGGGTCTGACGGGTTAGTAAGAGCGTGTCCCCTCACCTCAATCACGTAGCCGATGTATTCAATGACGTGTCCATTATACTCTTGAGTTTTTAAAATCAGTTTATCACCTAGTTAAAAAATAGATCACCACATGTAAGACTGACACGAAATTACAAAGTTCTGCTGCTGTGTTATAAAATCAAACACCATCAGACAAAAATATAGCAGAGGTCAACTGCTCAAAGATGACGTAACCGTGGCAACGGAAACGCATGATGGGCGGAAGGTGCTGATCGGCTTTTAGACGAGGACATTAGCTGATGGGATACAGTGTCGTCAGCTGAAAGCACGTGTCCCCTGCTGTGGTTCCCCGTCTGCTACTCCATCCGCTGACAGTGCCCACCCACCTGCGTACCCACCCACCTGCGTAGAGAGAAGGCCGGCTCTCCGCCAGTCCTGGGACCTCCAGCACCAGCAGGTCCCCGTTCCTTTTCAAGGTGACCCCACTCATATTGTACTCTTTGAGCTCTGTTTCCGCATGGATCTCCTCAAGCCACAGCAACGTTGAAAACTTTTCCTTGTAGTTTGACATGTTCAAAAGCTGAAAACAAAATATCAGCAAGTTACAGAGAAGAAAGTAACTGTCAAGTATATGCCAATTCCAGGAAATAAGCAGTTATAGGTTTAAGTCCGAACTACTTCTATTTGATAGACACCCCCACTGAGGTGGCGACTGAAGGTCCACACATCCTGGTGGGTGCAGGGCTTGGTGCCCCAGCAAGGGGTGACTCTCTGCCATGACCACGCCTGTCCTTGGCTACCACAGCCCTGTGCCCTCTGCACCCTGCTGCCCCTACTCTTTTCTTTTTCAGTCTTCTGAGTTTATTCCACAAAGGGCAGAGTTTGGCTTCTACAGATTATCTGTAAAAAAGGATGGGGCTGTAGCTTCTTCTGAGATGGAGTAACAAGGACCAGATTTACATCCTCACCTGAAGTAACTTAAAAACACCAGACAAAATACACGAAACAGCAGTTTTCGAACATGAACATCAGGAGCACAGGACAAAGATCCCAGAAGGGGACACAAACTGCGTGAGCCCCGTGACTGCCTGACACAGGGAGGGGGAGCACGCAGGGGAGCTCTGAGGCCCCTGAGCTGGGAGTCCCAGGGGTTGGAATGGACAGAGCAAGTACCAGGCTTTGAGACCTTCGGGGGTCCACTGTGAAGGTCTCGAAACACTGAGCAGCACATGCCTCCCTTCAAATCTTCCTTCCTGACTTTTCTTCTGCGTAACTCAATTTCAAACCCACTCCTCCAATGTCCACACTGGGGTGTGCCCACAGCCCTCCTACCCTGTGGCATCCTGCCACTTGCTCTACTGGGCTGCTCCTGGCCCTTCACCTTCTACCTCTGCTGGGCCTCTCCAGCAGTTCCACCCCTGCTCCTGACTTCAGCCCCCAGGTATAGTACAGTGGATGGTTCAGACAAGCCCCCTCAAGGAAGAAGCAACAATGCCACATGGGAGGGGGGGTGAGGAGAGAACTTTCTAGGCAAAGGAAGCCACATGTGTGAGGACCTGGTGGCAGAGGGGGTATCCTGGCCTTGTTCCTGACCTTGGCAAACTGTTCAGTGTTTCACATTGTGATGGTTAATGTGTCAAGTTGGCTATAATTCTCAGTGGTTTGGCCTGACGCTGGACTGGGTGATGTGACGAGATAACGTGATTGGAATGTGATGAGGATGGTGTGACAAAGATGATTTGCTGTGATGGGCTGATGGGATGGGCTGACAGGTTGATGGGATGGGCTGGGCTGGGCTGATGTGATGGGATGGGTTCATGGGATGGGATGGGTTCATGGGATGGGATGGGTTGATGTGATGGGACGGGATGGGCTGACGTGATGGGACAGGATGACAGGATGGGACGGGTTGACATGATGGGACGGGTTGACCTGATGGGACGGGTTGACGTGATGGGATGGGATGATGGGATGGGTTAGAGCGATGAAATGATAGGACAGGATGATGTGGTGAGATGAGATGAGATGTGATAAACCAATCACTGAAAGAGTAGTTTCCGTTGGGATGTGGTCTGCCTCCAGAATATAGACTGATATTCTGGCAGAGCTCTTTCTCTTTTGACCCTGCACTCTTTTTGTTCCCTGACCTGTGGATTTTGGGACATAAGCTTACAGAAGTCTCTGGTCTGATGCCTGACCTACGGATTTTGGACCTGCCAGCCTCACAACTGCATGAGCCAATCTCTTGAAGTACCTCTCTCTCTCTTTCTCTCTCTCTCTCTATATATATATATACACACACCTCAATGGCTTGGAAACTCTGGTGGTGTAGTGGTTAAGTGCTACAGCTAATAACCAAAAGGCTGGCAGTTCGAATCCACCAGGCACTCCTTGGAAATCCTATGGGGCAGCTCTACTCTATCCTATAGGGTCGCTATGAGTCTGAATTGACTTGATGGCAACAGGTTTCAATGGTTTTGCTCCTCTAGAGAAACCAAGTTATCAGGAGGGATCAGACCCTGGAGAAGAACATCATGCTTGGTAAAGCAGACGGTCAGTGAAAAAGAGGAAGACCCTCAACTAGATGGACTGACACAGTGGCTGCAACAATGGGCTCAAGCACAGCAACGACTGTGAGCATGGTGCAGGACCGGGCAGTGTTTCGTTCGGTAGTACACAGGGTCACTGTGAGTCAGAACTGACTCGATGGCACCTAGTAACAACAGAGCACCCAAACTAAGACACACATTCAGTACGTGCACCTGCAGTTTTCTCTGAAGATGTCCTGTCTTTCCTTAGTTCCCCATTGCAGAGGAAGTCCCTGTTTTACCAAGAGGTGAGCTGCTGTGAGTCCAGAATGCCTTCTGCTCCTAAAGACATGCCTGTCCAGCTGGAAGGCGGGGCTGGAGGCAAAAGATACCCACCCCATCTCTACTGCAACCAGTCCCCGGAGACTCAGTGATGCTTGTCTCCTGACATGGCAGCAGGCCAGAGCTGCATGAATAATATGCGGGCACTCAGTTTCTGAAGGAACAAAGGGAACAGTCTCTATCTCCTGCTATCCTGGAATTCCCAACTACTTGTGGTAACAATTAACAGTGGAAGTTCTGAACCTAAGAAAGTCCATCCTGATTTTGTCAGAAATGACACATGAGTGTGGAGGAGACTCATGTTTCAAGTGCAAGCACACACTCCTTTCCTACCTCTGCAAGCAATGGCTGGAAAGTCAGAATGTCAATTTTCTGTTCCACACATTTTTTAAGTCTATCTGGTATTGGATACTGTGGAAGAAAACTTGGAAGTTGTCGTCTTGAGTTCCTTAAAAAATAAATTCGTAAGTTAAAAACAAGTCTGAACCTCCCAGACAATTTTACACATTCTACCGTTTCAAAAAGACCAAAGTGCGTTCACTCACCAAAAGTAACCGATGCATAAACTGCCAGCCTCATTCAGCCATCTGCAAACTGTACGCTAGCTGTGGGACCCCTTCTTCACCCAGAGCTCACTGGGTGCCTGTGCTCCATGCCACAGATCGAGGCAGAACTGTGGTCACCAAAGGAGAAAGGGTAGAAGCTCCCGGGGACTCTCAGAACCAGTGAATTTGAAAACTACTGTTCTGTGCTCTTAATTAAGCTAACCTTTTATTTTCTTTGTAATTCAACCTGAATAATTTACTATCAGGGAACACCACTGACTTCTCTCTCTTTAGGTGCCGTCGAGTCAGTTCAGACTCATAGCAACTCTATGTTCATAAACTGCTGTTGTTCATATGTTTTTGTTGTTGTTCGGTGCCATCAAGTCAGTTCCGACCGATAGCGACCTTATGTACCACAGAACAAAACACTGTCCAGTCCTGTGCCATCCTCACAATCATTGTTATGCTTGAGCCCACTGTTGCAGCCACTGTGCCAACCCATCTTCTTGAGGGTCTTCTTCTTTTTCGCTGACCCTCCACTTTACCAAGCATGATGTCCTCCTGATAATGTTTCCAAAGTATGTGAGGTGAAGTCTCGCCATCCTCGCTTCTAAGGAGCATTTTGGTTGTACTTCTTGCAAGACAGATTTGTTCATTCTTCTTCTGGCAGTCCATGGTATATTCAATATTCTTTGCCAACAGCATAATTCAAAGGCATCAACTTTTCTTTGGTCTTCCTTATTCATTGTCCAGCTTTTGCATGCATATGAGGTGACTGAAAGTACCATGGTTTGGGTCAGGCGCACCTTAGTCTTCAGCATGATATCTTTTTTTTTTTTTTTTTTTTAACACTTTATAAAGGTCTTTTGCAACAGATTTACCCAATGCAATAAATATTTTTTTTAAATTGTGCTTAGGTAGAGTTTACAGCTCAAGTTAATTTCTCATTCAAAAATTTACTCACATATTGTTTTGTGACATTGGTTGTAATTCACACAATGTGACAACATGCTCCCCCTTTCCACCCCAGCATCCGTGTGTCCATTCGTCCAGTTACTGTTCTTCCTGCCTTCTCTTCTTGCTTTTGGACAAGAGTTGCCTGTTTGGTCTCATATATTTAATTGAACTAAGAAGTACCCTCCTCATTTGTGCTATTTTTGTTTTATAGGCCTGTCTGATCCTTCTCTGAAAAGTAGGCTTTGGTAATGGTTTCAGTTCTGGGTTGGCCGAGTATCTGGGGGCCACAGTTTCAGGGATTACCCTAGTCTCTGTCAGACCAGTTAGTCTTTTTTCGTGAATCTGAATTCTGTTCCACATTTTTCTCCTGCTCCGTCCGCGACTCTCTGTTGTGATCCCTGTCAGAGTGGTTGCTGGTGGTAGCCGGGTACCATCTAGTTCTTCTGGTCTCAGGCTGGTGGAGTCTCTGGTTCATGTGGTCCCATAGTTCTTTGGGCTAGTATTTTCCTTGTGTCTTTGGTTTTCTTCATTCTCCTTCGCTCTGGATAGGTTGGGTCCAAAAAAATGTAACTCAGGTGGCCACTCGCAAGCTTTTTAATACCCCAGATGCTACTCACCAAAGTGGGATGTAGAATATTTTCTTTATGAACTATGTTATGCCAACTGACCTAGATGTCCCCCGAGACTATGGTCCCCAGCCCCCAGGCCCAGCTACTTGGTCCCTCAAACTGTTTGGATATATCTAGGAAACTTCTATGCTTTTGCTTTGGTCCAGTTGTGCTGACATCCCCTATATTGTATTGTCCTTCCCTTCACTGAAGTTGACATCTGTCTACTATCCCTCCTCCTCCTCCCTCCACCCTAGTAACCAAAGAATGCTTTTTTCTGTACGTAAACCTTTTCTTGAGTTCTTATTAACAGTGGTCTCATACAATACTTGTCCGTTCGTGACTGACTTATTTCACTCAGCATGCCATCCACGTTCATCCATGTTGTGAGATGTTTCACAGATTCATCATTCTTTACTGTTGCATATTATCCCACTGTCTGTATGTACCATAATTTGTTTATCCATTCATCTGTTGATGGGCACTTAAGTTGTTTCCATCTTTTCGCTACTGTGAATAGCGCTCTAATGAACATGGGTATACATATGTCTATTTGTATGACTGCTCCTATTTCTCTAAGATATATTCCTAGGAATGGAATTGCTGGATCATATGGTATTTCTATTTCTAGCTTTTTAAAGAAGCGCCTTATCATTTTCCAAAGTGGCTGTACCATTCTGCATTCCAACCAGCAATGCATTCCCCATGCATCTGTCAGTTTGTCATACTGTGGGGGCTTGCATGATGCTCAGATGCTGGAAGCTATGCCACCCATATTCATATACCAGCTGGGTCACCCATGGCGGACAGGTTTCAGCTGAGGTTCCAGACTAGAAAGAAGTGTCTCGCAGTTTACTTCTGGAAAGAATTAGCCAGCGAAAACCTTACGAATAGCAGCGAAACGCTGTCTGATACAGTGCCGGAAGATGAGCCCCCCAGGTTGGAAGGCACTCAAAATATGACTGGGGAAGAGCTGCCTCCTCAAAGTAGAGTTGACCTTAATGACATGGATGGAGTCAAGCTTTCAGGACCTTCATATGCTGACGCAGCATGACTCAAAATGAGAAGAAACAGCTGTAAACATCCATTAATAATCGGAACGTGGAATGTACGAACTATGAATCCAGGAAAATTGGAAATTGTAAAAAATGAAAATGAATGCATAAGCATCGATACTCTAGGCATTGGTGAGCCGAAATGGACTGGTACTGGCCATTTTGAATCATACAATCATACGGTCTACTATGCTGGAAATGACAAACTGAAGAGGAACTGGTCAATGTGCAACCATTTCAGAAGGCAGCATATGATAAAGAACCGATGGCACTGAAGGAAGAAGTCTAAGCTGTACTGAAGGCACTGGCAAAAAACTAGGCTCCAGGAATCAACGGTGCACCAACTGAGATGTTTCAACAAATGGATGCAGCACTGGAAGTGCTCACTTGTCTATGCCAAGAAATCTGGAAGACAGCTACCCCACCAACCAACTGGCAGAGATCCATATTTATGCCTATTCCCAAGAACAGTGATCCAACCAAATGTGGAAATTATCGAACAGTATCATTAATATCACATGCAAGTAAAACTTTGCTGAAGATCATTCAAAAGCAGCTGCAGAAGTATATCGACAGGGAACTGCCAGAAATTCAAGCTGGATTCAGAAGAGAATGTGGAACCAGGGATTATCATTGCAGATGTCAGATGGATCCTGGCTGAAAGTAGAGAATACCAGAAAGATATTTACCTGTGTTTTACTGACTACGCAAATGCACTCAACCGTGTAGATCCTAACAAATTACGGATAACACTGCAAAGAATGGGAATTCCAGAACACTTAATTGTGCTCATGAGGAACCTGTACATAAATCAAGAGGCAGTTGTTTGAACGGAACAAGGGGACACTGCGTGGTTTAAAGTCAGGAAAGGTGTGCATCAGGGTTGTATCCTTTCACCATACTTATTCAATCTGTGTGCTGAACAAATAATCCAAGAAGCTGGACTGTATGAAGAAAAACACGGCTAAGGATTGGAGAAAGACTCATTAACAACCTGCATTATGCAAATGACATAGCCTTGCTTGCTGAAAGTGAAGAGGACTTACTGATGACAATCAAAGACCACAGCCTTCACTATGGATTACACCTCAACATAAAGAACAAAAATCCTCACAACTGGACCTATAAGCAACATCATGATAAATGGAAAATGATTGAAGTTGTCAAGGATTTCATTTTATTTGGATCCACAACCAGCACCCATGGAAGCAGCCGACAAGAAATCAAAAGACGCATTGCACTGGGCAAATCTGCTGCCAAAGACCTCTTTAAAGTGTTGAAAAGATGTCACCTTCAAGACTAAGGTGCGCCTGACCCAAACCATGGTGTTTGAAATTGCCTTATATGCATGCGAAAGCTAGACGATGAATAAGGAAGATCAAAGAAAAACTGATGCCTCTGAATTATGGTGCTGGCGAAGAATACTGAATATACCATAGACTGCCAAAAGAACGAATAAATCTGTCTTGGAAGAAGTACAGCCAGTATGCTCCTTAGAAGCAAGGATGGTGAGATTACATCTCATATACTTTGGACGTGTTATCGGGAGGAATCAGTTCCTGGAGAAGGACATCATGCTTGGTAAAACAGAGGTCAGCGAAAAAGAGGAAGACCCTCAACAAGATGGACTGACAGTGGCTGCAACAATGGGCTCAAGCACAAGCTTGTGAGGATGGTGCAGGACTGGGCAGTGTTTTGTTCTGTTGTACATGGGGTCGCTATGAGTTGGAACCGACTTGACAGCACTAACAACAACAACCAGCACTGCATTAATAGTTCCAATCTCCCCACAAGCTCTCCATCACTTGTTACTTTCTGTTTTTTGGATTAGGGCCAGTACTGTTGGAGTGAGATGGTATCTCAATGTAGTTTTGATTTGCATTTCTCTAACAGCTAATGACAGCAAGCATTTTGTCAAGTGTCTGTTAGCTGCCTGCATGTTTTCTTTGGTGAAGTGTCTGTTCGTGTCCTTTGCTAATTTTTTAACTGGATTATTTGTCTTGCTGTTGTTGACGTGTTGCAGTATCTTGTAGATTTTAGAGATTAGATCCTTGTCAGATATATTGTAGCCAAAAAATTTTTCCCAGTCTGTAGGTTCTCGTTTTAGTCTTTTGGTGAAGTCATTTGATGAGCATAGTGTTTAATTTTTTAGGGGTTCCCGGTTATCTAGTTTCTCTTCCAGTGTCTGTGCACTGTTACTTACGGTTTGTATCCTATTTATGCCATATATTCGGGTCCCTAGTATTGTCCCTATTTTTTCTTCCTTGATCTTTACCGATTTAGATTTTATATTTACATCTTTGATCCATTTTGAGTTAGTTTTTGTACATGGCGTGAGGTATGGGTCTTGCTGCATTTTTTTAGAGATGGATATCCAGTTATGCCAGCACCATTTGTTAAAGAGACTGTCTTTTCCCCATTTAATGGACTTAGTCAAATATCAGCTGCTCATATATGGGTGGATTTACATCTTGGCTCTCAATTTCTGTTCCATTGGTCTATGTGTCTGTTGTTGTACCAGTACCAGGCTATTTTGACTACTGTGGATGTATAATAGATTCTAAAATCAAGTAGTGTGAGGCCTCCCACTGTGTTCTTCTTCAGTAATGCTTTACTTATCTGTGGCCTCTTCCCTTTCCATATAAAGTTGGTGATATGCTTCTCCATCTTGTTAAAAGAATGCTGTTGGAATCTGGATTGGGACTGCACTGTATCTGCAGATTGATTGTAAATGTAGAACTGACATTTTCACAATGTTTAGTCTTCCTATCCATGAGCATGGTATGTTCTTCCACTTACGTAGGGTTCTTCCGGTTTCTTCCACTAGTGTTTTATGTTTTCTTTGTATAGATCTTTTATGATTGTCTTAGTCATCTAGTGCTGCTATAACAGAAATACCACAAGTGGATGGCTTTAACAAAGAGAAATTTATTCTCTCAGTCTAGGAGCTAGAAGTCCAAATGCAGGGTGCCAGCTCTAGGGGAAGGTGTTTCCTGTTGGTTCTGGGGGAAGGTCCCTGTCATCAATCCTCTCCTGGTTTACGAGCTTCTCTGTGCAGGAACTCCCAGTCTAAAGGACGTGCTCTGCTCCCGGCACTGTTTTCTTGGTGGTGTGAGGTCCACCTTTCTCTGTGCTTGCTTTTTTCTTTATACCTCAAAAGGAGATTGACTCAAAATACAACCTTATCTTGTAGACTGAGTCCTGCCTCATTAACATCATAGAGATAGGATTTACAACACATAGGGAAATCACATCAGATGACAAAATAGTGGATAATCACATAATACTGGGAATCATGGCCAAGTTGACACATTTTTTTTTTTTTAATTTTTGATTTTTTATATTTTATTGTACTTCAGGTGAAGGCTTACAGAACAAATAGATTCTCATGCAACAGTAGTACACATGTTGTTTTATGACATTGGTTAACAACCCCACAACATATTAACCCTCTAAATTCCCAACTTTTTTTTTTTTTTGGTGAAAATACACATAGCCAAAGATACACCGTTTCAAAAATTTCTACATA